CATATTTTACCCAAATCAACGACTTTTCCTCAGACTGACTGAATTAATTAAAGAGGAAATTAGATTCTACATCTACACTTCTAGTTAGTTGGGGACCCCAATTGAAACATTGAAGAAAAGAATTTTAGCCTGGTTCGAGCCTGTTATTTGGCTAAGAATGCATTTTGAAATAATAGATTCATTGAAAATTTGTTATTAAAAAATAAGAAAAAATTTTGAATTTACGTGTAATATTATTTTTATTGAAAAATATGTTATTGAAATGAAGATGGATAAAAATGTATTTTAAAAATAATTGGAATAAAAAAAGGGCTTATTAACTTTCATTTAAATGTTTACTATCCAAATTTATACCAAGCATAATAAAATATTTTTTTTTTATAAATAATGCGACATCTAACCAAATTCATGAAAATAATTCGTATAATTTACTTGAAATACAATTAGCTTAAATATATACACTAATAAAGTCATTTTTGAGTTTCAATTTTTGAAATTCATTTGTCCTTGCATATATATTCTCTGAATAAAATAAATTTACAAATAAATTTTTTTTTCCTTACATATTCTCCAAAAAAATTATTTTTTACAAATCTAATGAACTGGAAGCATATTTTTAGTAAAATAATAATTTATTAAACTTGGGATTTTGGAAAAGGGTGGTTCTTTCTGCTTAGAATCTTCCTCACATCTCATCCCATGACTTGAGAAAAATGTTGGGAAATTACAAAAATTCAGGTATTTAAAGATAGTGCAAAAATCAGGTGTGAATTTTATTTAATCAAAAATCAATTATTGAATTAATAGCAGCGTCGCTGGCAGCAGCGTTGCTGCGCAGCGTTCAGCAGTGCGACGCTGCTGCGTCGCGCGCTGACTTGTAGCTGCTGAACGTAGCGATGCTAGCAACAGCGTGCCGCTGCTGAGTCGCTGCGACGCTGCTGTTGCAGTCGCTGCAGAGTCGCGGTGGATGTGGCGACCTGGAAATTACAGTTGGGTGGACGAGGAAATTACAGTGAAATGGGTGTGTGGCTCGGCGGTGGTTTGTGGCTCGGAGAGGCGGCAAATCTGTGGGTGTGGGGCAGATCTATGTGTGGCTGTTGTTCGTGGTTGGTTGTGGTTGGATCTGATGAGGCGCAGATCTATGTATGGCTGTTGTTTGTAGCTTTGTTGGTGGCAGGGTTGTGGTGTGGTGTTGGTGGATCTGATGAGGTTTGTTGGATCTGTCTGGCGGCTGTGGTGGTTTCTGGCGGTGGAGACATTGGTTTTGTTGGTGAGGTTGTGGGTTGGGTATGGTTGGGCGCGGTGGATTTAGATAGGAAACGGGCGGTGGTGGTGGGTTTGTTGGTGGTGATGTTGGTGGCGATGGTGGTAATGGTGGCGACGGGGTG